TGTTTGTTACTCTTGGTGCTAGCTAGTGGTGGTCAAACAATCCTTTGTGAGAGGGTCTCTTTTGCACTTCTGGATCAGATTTCTGCTTCTTGGGGAAAAAAAGTTCCCGAAAACACAACATATGACCAGACCACAGAATACCCAGCTGTGAATGGCCCACCCACTAAAAGACAAATCAATAGCATTCACTGCCAAACCCTTGAGGAAAAAGATGCTTTTTTTTTTTTTTTTTTTTTTTCGTAATTGCATCTTATACAGACTCTTGGCTTTTATTTTTGTTTTGTTTTTTAATTTATCAATTTTCTTTGCTGCAGTCCCCCTTTGCCAGTGCTTCTTTCCCGTGGAAGCTTAGCCATTCACATCAGCATGAATCCTGGAGCAGCTGAGCTGCACTGCCATTGAAAGGTGACCCTGTTTTGGTGCTTTTATTCACCAGAACTTAAAAGCACCATAGTGGTGGGACTCACCAGTCCCAAAGCTGTTCAGCAGTCTGCTACTCTGCATGCACCCTGTGACTGCTACCACAACATGCAGCAACAGCAAAAGCAAACTGTGAGGGTCTCATAGGGCAATGGTCTGATCTCTGGGAGGGATGGGGCTGACAAAATGTCAGCTGTTAGAAAGTAAACTGGGCTGAACAGCGCTACTATTACAGCTGAAGGGGGGACAATAACACCCTTCTGGACAGGTGCTGCAAATCCACTCACAGCACTCAACTCCACAAAAGATGCATTGGAAAGAGGCACAACAAATACAGACTGACAAAAGCTTTGTAAGTCCAGTTTGACAAGATAAAGGAGCCAGCAAAGAAAGGGAAGAAAGGGAAGAGTTTTTCTAATAATCTCCTTCTCAAGATGTCTTCTTCTGAGATCAAGGAAAAGAAAACAAACAAATAATTGTTTTAGTTCAAACAAATGATTGTTTTAGTTCAAAACGTCAGAAGCCCAGCAGGACTGTTCGCTGTCCCTGCGTTTAATAAGCGTGCAAATGGGTATCTGTAGCATGGTTGCTAAGTTGGAAACTACAAACATAAAGGCTTAGACTAACCAGGAGCTCAATACTAGGAAAAAAAAAAAAAAAGCCACAGGCACCTGGAAGGTCGTAGCTTTATAGCACCCCGTTTGGTTAAGAAAGACTTTCAAGCTCACAAAAGTATCACATTCAGAAAACGTATCCAGCATTTTGCCCTTCTCATACATTTCATCGTCCAGTTGCTCTCCTAAACAGTTTAGCATCCTGGTCTGTGTACAAACGTGATAGACGATGACTTGCCCTCAACTCAACACTAGGTGTCACTTCTGCTTTAAAAATGCAACAAGACACGTGAAAAGTTGCTTGAAGAAACTCTTTTCGGCATTAGATTTTCAGGAGACCTCCGGACATCCAAACTCTTCCTAGAAGACAAATGATGTAGACTCCTAGGAGAGTAATGATACGGACACTCACAGAAGTATCCATACACTTACAGGGTTTTAAGGTTCCAAATGCCTCAAATCAGGCATTTAAAAGCATCTGAAAATGCCAAACGAGTCTTTGCCACAGTGGGTGTAGTGTTGAACAGCAAAAGGTTCTCTCTCTTTTGTGTGTGAGCAGTGAAACTCCTGTGGACAAGGGAGTACTAAATGGAGAAGCTGTCAGAGTCTGTTCTGACAAAGCATCCCACCCTGTTGGCTTCTGTTGCTGCAGGTGGGCAAGCACTGCTCTGCCTTCCATTCTTTCACAGGAATAGATTTGCATGCCAAAAGACTGATCTGAGCACCTGGGATAGACTCAAAGGAGGAGAAAGTGGCGTGGTGTTTGTGTTCAGCGCCAGTCGCAAGTTTGGGCACAGAGCACAGTACAAGTGAAAAAGATAAGGAAGCAAAGAGTACATAGCAAGGGGAAGAGTTCCCTTTGGGTTGACACTGACTGTGCTAAAAACCATTCTATTTAGAAAGGATCCACTAAAGAAGGGAGCAGAAGAGATCAGTAAAACTAAAGCTGGTTGACCCCAAGGCCAATTATTTGCCACATCATGCAGTACCAGGAAGTAGGGGATTACAAAGGAAGAGGCCACAGGCTCAAAACAAAATAAAATACCTTCCATGTCTAAACATGGATCTTCTGGGCATACACAGGAGCTTTGCAGAGAGTAAATTCACCAGCTGGTTGAAACAACAGTCAGGACATAAATTCATCATTCATAAAGGCTGTTAAACAAACATATATTACAGGTAGCCTGTAAACAGCATATTCCTGGAGAAAGAAAGAGTATTATCTATTATCTGTTTTATCTATTAAGAAAAGTAGCAAGTAAGTGGTAATAGAAATTGCAGAGCACAATTACTTGTAATGCCCTCAGCCACCTGATACAGCATTCACACCAGGCCTGGTCTCAACAGGGCTTTGGATTACAGACCTCTGAAAAATCCTCACTGCTTTATCTTTTTGTGAATCTAAAATCCTCAGTGCTGCTACTTACCCCCACTGGACAGCAAGGTTTAGCAGCAGAGATGAGTTTGGGTGGAAACGCAAATGATAGGCTCTGCTCCCTCCTCCACATTCAGAGGATGTGGAAGGCAGAGCTTCAGTGTAAATATAGTTTGAAGATGGTTGGATATACAAAGTTGAAGAGAGTAGGCAAAAGGTGTAAACTGCTACCAGAAATATGATCAACCAGCTGCTCTTGCTAACAGAAATAATCTATTTCAGAAGACAGTTCTTAACAGAACTTCCCAGTTGGAAGTGGTGAGGTCAGATGCAGCTCAACCTTCATTCATCCAAAGAAGTGCTGGCATCTCTAGCTGCACAGGCAAGAGGTAACGTGGTAGGGGAGGACACCAAACACTAGTCAAGAGATTAAGCAAAATGGAGAGGGAAATTGACAACCAAGGAAACAAGGAGATAAGTATTAACGGCACTTGAATGAGAAAAAGAGAAGGCAAAGCAGGGAAAGTGGGAGCGTGAGCAGAGAAGAATGTAGGGCAAGAAAGCAGAACACATGGACTGCAGGTAATAAATAGCATACACAACTTTTTTTTTTTTTTTCCCCCCCCACAAGCAGAGGAGAGTCCAGCAAAGATAGAAATCACTAAAAAGCAAAAGGTGCATCTCTGACCAGGAGGAGAGCGTGTGACTGGAAAGCACAAGCAGCATCTTTCACTCTTCTAGTCAGCACAAGCAGTAAATTGTTTTGCAGGCATTACAGCAGTTTTACCACAGTGTATGCAAGTTTCAGGGCCACAGTGCTAAATGAGAGAGAAAGAGAAGCTAAGGATTTAGAAAACACAGACCAAGTACTGCTCCCTGCACATACTTTCTGCTCCTCATCGTTACTGTATAGATAATATAGAACGAGAAAAACAAGCCTGCAAGCCATAGGTATGAATGAACAGATTCTTGGTGGCACAGGAAGAATAAGTGCTCCTGGTCTTGACTACAGTAGCAGCCAGATTCCTCAAAGAAGTGATAAACGTAGAAAAATAAAGTGTTACAGTGACCTTAAACTTGGAAAAAACAAAGTGAGCTTTTCATAGAATCACAGAATGGCCTGTGTTGAAAAGGACCACAATGGTCATCTGGTTTCAACCCCCCTGCTGTGTGCAGGGTCACCAACCAGCAGACCAGGCTGCCCAGAGCCACATCCAGCCTGGTCTTGAATGCCTCCAGGGATGGGGCATCCACAACCTCCATGGGCAACCTGTTCCAGTGTGTCACCACCTTCTGCGTGAAAAACTTCCTCCTAATATCTAACCTAAACCTCCCCTGTCTCAATGTGAAACTATTTCCCCTTGTCCTATCACTATCCACCCTTGTAAACAGCCATTCCCCCTCCTGTTCATATTGGAGTTTATATTCAAGTACTGGAAGGCCACAATAAGGTCACCCTGGAGCCTTCTATTTTCCAAGCTGAAAAGCCCAGTTCCCTTAACCTTCCTTCACAGCAGAGGTGCTCCAGCCCTCTCTGATCATCTCAGCTGCCGTCCTCTGGACCTGCTCCAAGAGCTCCAAGCCTGGACACAGTACTGCAGATGGGGCCTCACAAGAGCCAAGTAGAGGGAGACAATCACCTCCCTCTGCCTGCTTGCCACCCCTTTTTTAAATGCAGCCCAGAACACAGCTGGCCTTCCAGGCTGCAATTGCACACTGCTGGCTCATGTCCAGCTTCTCATCCACCAGGACCCCCAAGTCCTTCTCCACCGGGCTGCTCTCAACGAGTTCTTTGCCCAGTTTGTATAAAAACCTGGGATTGCCCCGACCCAACTTCAGCACCCTGCACTTGGCCTTACTGATCCTCATTAGGTTTTCATAGGCCAGGCCCACTTTTCCAGCCTGTCCAGGTCTAGGTCTGGATGGCTTCCCTGCCCTCCAGTGTATGGATTTCACCGCTCAGCTTGATGTCATCCACAAACTTGCTGAGGGTGCACTTTATGCCATCATCTATGTCACTGATGAAGATGCCGAAGAGCACTGGTCCCAAGACCGATCCCTGAGGGACACCACTTGTGACCAGCCTTCACCCTGATGCAGAACCATTGATCACAACCTGTGGCTGTAATCAGCCAACCAATTTTTAATCCACCTAAGTACATCCTTCAAATCCACACCTCTCCAATTTAGAGAGAAGGATGTGGGGAGGGACCATGTCAAAGGCTTTGTAGAAGTCCAGACAGATGACATCCATTGCCCTTCCTCTGTCCACCGAAGCCGTCACTCCATCATAGAAGATTGATTCAGATTGATAGAATCTGACCACCAGATTGGTCAGGCAAGATCTGCCCTTGATGAAGCCACAGTGAAGCTCTTCTGCAGGCTCACAGAAGATTCATTATTGTTGAAGCCTGAGGCTACAGCAAAATGAGGTCCTTAACGCTTCATTTGCATGAGCTATCAATAAAACAAAGTCTGGGTGGAAAAGGGAGACAACGATGCAGATTTATGTTTCTCATTCCAGTGGGCCTGTACCTGCAGAGTACTACACTACCCACCGCATGCAGCTTCAACAGATTCACACAAAGATGTAATTTTGGCAATTTTAATTCTCTCCCCTATTATACAAAATATTTTACAATTAAAAAAACATTTTCCCCAGCAGAATCATATACAGATATTTATAATGAACAAGATTTAGTTACAGTCAAGATGGGGGGACTTCTGCACAAAGTAAAAACAATGACAGATGATCAAGTGAAAATTAAGACTTGACCTTTCCCTACCATATTCTGGGAGGGGAGGTTATAGTTAGGCTTTTATTCCTATCACATTGTCTCAAATCTGAACTCTGGGACCTCCTTTTATCCCTACGGTCCACTCACACCTGTAGCACAAGTACACTACTCTGCTCTCAGAGGTTCCCAAATGAGAAATCATCATCTGACTGTACCATAAATTTAGTATTACCCAAGGAAAATGGACTGCTGCCCTCAGCTTTCCCTAGTAACCCACATACATACACATACAAGCACATACATGGGGGAAGCATACTCAAATCCAGATTTTTTTGTTTTCCACTGCTTCACTTAACATCAATCTTGTCCCACCAAAGCAGCCTGCCTTTGAAACATGTCCAGCAGGTACCCTCTCCAGAATGGCTACTATGAGGTCTCAAAGCCACACTGGGCACCACTGCACATGCCATCTGGGAAAGCTTCTCATTTCCCCACTTTGACCATCTGCTTGGCAGCAGAGTGTCAGTCAGCCATAGATGTGATAATGTAAACCACTCAGAGATCCTCAGGTCACAAACAACAGGTAGGGGAAGTTGCACACTTCAGCAGGAAATTAAAAAAAAAAAAAAAAAAAGAAATAGTTGCAAGTGATCTGCCCTAATAGAGCAAAGGTGTGCGTGTACCCAAGTGAACATTTTCTCCCTAGAGAAGGTCACAGCTGGGCTGGGCCAAACCTGCACTCGCAGGGAAGCTGATCCCAGAGTCACTGCTGGAGGCCAAATGCCCGAAGCAGCGTGGGAAGGTCATGGGCATCAGCTGCTCCATACAGGTCACTCTGCCCCAGCATGGAGAGGGCCATGCGGAGGGTGCTCCAGATGTTGTCAGACATAGCGCCTTGCTGCCCCCGTGGACCTCGGCTCTTCTGCTGCATGTGCAAAGCCTCTAAGAAGTGCTCCACAGCCTCACTGTCAACATGAGAACATACACATGCTTACTGGAGATGTTACATCTCATATTCCCTCCCCATTTGATTCTGAACTGCTATTTCTTCCCCTTTACAATAGTTTCCCCCCTCTTTAGCACATCCTTCCCCGCTCCAAAACCACTAGTGATCCTGCTTTCCCCCTGATCAGGAATTCAAGTCCAGATGGCCTCCACTGCAAGTGCATCTGCCTGGCATCTTATCAGGACAGATTCTACTCATTCACTGTCTGCCTATTGCTACCAGAAGGCTGCAGGCAGCACAGCACTGTCCTAGTAACCTATCACAGTCTCTCTCCCACGCAGATATGCAACCTCATAGGTCACAGCAGATTTACACATCCTCTGCTCACCGGTGGGCACCCAAGTTGATGCAGCTGATGCCCAAGTTGTATCGAGACCGGATATATCCTGGCTGGAGCTCCAGTGCCCGCCGATATGCGGCCACAGCTTCCTCACTGCGATTCCCATTGGCCAGCGTGGCACCAAGCTTGTTCCATAGGAGATGATCCTGGAAAAGGGGACAGAGAGAAAAGACTAAATCAAACTGGCTCTTTTTTTTTTTTTTTTTTTTTTTTTTTAAGTTCCAAGCCATCCCTTCCTAACCAATGTGTCTGCCTTGCTCCTCTGCTTCAGATGTACCTCACAGTACACACAGCACCTCCACCCCCAAAACTCTAGGTACCTCCAGCACCCCCACTCTGCCCTTTCTTACATTGGGGCGCACACTAAGTGCGGCACTGAAGCAATCCACAGCCTTCTCGTATTCGCCACTAAGGTTGAAAAGGACACCCAGGCCACACTGAACATCAGGATCAACAGTTGAGGGGTTGCTGCGCACAGCTGCTAAGAACAGCTCTTTGACTTCCACAAAAAGTGAGCTGGAAAAGCATGGAACAAGGACATTTGTATACTGTAGAACAAGCTGACCTTGGGTTGCCCAATCTAACACCTGCCCGACCCAGCCCCAATTCTCCAAGACACTTCTCATCTGTAGGCTAAGATTTGTATCCCCAACTCACTCAGACAGCAGGGACCCTAGTACACGCTTGGAAGTCCCAAGATTTGTCTCTGAGGCATTCTCCTCTGGTTCCTTCTCCAGTAGGTGGGCATAGGCTTGTTTATGGCGTAGCCAGTCCCGCAGGGTCTCACATGCCTGCTTCTGCAAGGACTCGTTGGTGAAGCTGACCGCTAAAGCCATAAGTGCTGTAAGGTTACCAGGCTGCAGTTCCAAGCACCTGTATGTCACACAAAGAGAAACAACCACCACATTAAATCAAGAAGTCCAGCCATAGGTGGTAACACTAAACAGAACACAAAACACCCTACATGGTCCTCGGGGCATTATGGACAAGATAAAACCCCTGCTCAGATTTTTTGCAACACTCACCGCCTGAGAGCGCTGATTGCCAAGAGTTCCTGTTCATTCTCTGCTTGGGTGGTTCCCAGGTATTGCCAGGCCTGAAGGAAAAAGATGCATAAAGTCAGATTTCCTCAGATCCAGAAAAAATAAACAGGCACAGAGATTGGATCTGAGATTAAACACACGAACACCTTTGCTTCATGTACACTTCCATGTCAGATGCCATTTTGTCAGACTGTCCCTCTGCTGCCATCTGCCACAAGGCAACAAAATGTGACAGAATACTGATGGGAAGATTCAACCTCTTCTGCCATCCTACCAGCATCCGCCTCTGATATCACAGGCCAATGTGATAAAATAGGAGGCACTACTTTCAGAGCAGCCCTTATATTAGCCACACACACCCATATATTTAATCTGGAAAGATATATAGGCTTTCTGGTTCACATGCTATGAAGGACAATAAGAGTGGAGCTTTGGTGAAAAGAAATGAATGTGTACCAAGAAAGCAACCATAAAGCAACTGTTTGCAGCTTTACCCTCTAAAATTGCACAGTGTCTAACTTCAGCTTTTAACTGTGGTCAAAAACACAGGAAGGAGGGAAAAGCAGATCTCAGCTTTTCTAAAAACAAAATTGTATAGCAATAGTGCTAATAATGGGACCTTCAAGGCAGGCAGCTGAATATATTTGTGTATATACAGTCCACTGGCAAGTAAAAATTTTAGAAAATTGCCCACAAAGCAGAAGCACTGTTATTTTATTGGCTCTTCAATCATCATGACACCAGTACATTAAAAACTTCAATTTCCAGGCAGTTGACATATGGAATATTTAAAGTGCTAAATCCACAGTAAATATCCATTCACCTTACATCGATGACCACATCCCTTGCCTGTAAGTAGGCCAGCTAGCTTGCTGGATTTGTCAGCATGAAGTAACTGCTTTATGAACTTAAGTCACATGAAGTGCAGCGTCAACTGTCTCAAAGAAGGAAGTCATTAGGAGAAGCAGATATACTGCAACTGCCAGCCACCACAAGCAACAGGTAGTCTGCATCTACTGCCTCAAATCCCTAATGCCTCACCACAAGACTAGCTGCAACATGAAGCTCACCAGCCAGAACAGCACAGTGTTCTGAGGGCAGAAGAGCTGAGATCCAACAAAGTTGTACTTTGGACCAAGGTGACTATGGAATTTCCTTTGCAGTAAAAAAAAAAAAAAAAAAAAAAAAAAAAGAAAAAGTACAGGTCTACCATTGTACCATCTGAACTTGACTTCCTGTCCTTTCCACAGTTACAGCAGAAGAATTCAGAACTTTCCTCAATACAGCTAGCCAGAAAGGTTCAAGATTTCTACTCCTAAGGTCTCAGCTATTATGCCTAGCCCACAGCTCCAACAGTTTGAGAGACTGTCCAGTTCTCAAGGATTACCTCTTGACCACTTCAAAGCAAGAGTAGATTTTCAGAACATGTGCTTCCTTTCAAATTACTATTCGAGGAGGACTTGAATCAGTCCCAATGAGAATTCAGCCTTCCTGGCTCTTCTGACATAGGCACTTCAGAGACAGACAGCAGCACATGCATGTTTGCACTCCATCTCATCCTTCTGAGAATATTTATGTGCTCTACTTCTGAAGAAAGGCACAAACTATTTCCTAATCCACCCTATAGAAGCTGAAGTTTTATGGAGGAAGCATTCACTGAATTAACTGCTGGAACATGTCTCAGCATAAAAATCATTTTCTGGTATACAACTTCAAATAAAGCCTTTGGAGACACTCATGTTACTCAAAAGAATTGAGAGATGGCATTTCCTCACAGATCCAGGTCCTAACCACAACCTCTAGTGCAGCTAACTGCTAAGAATTTGCTTTTAATACCCATATTAAAGAATGTCATTATCACAAGCACCTCCAGGCTCATAAAGCCAACTAAGTCTTCCACAAAAGCAACTTAAAGAGATAAGAGCTTTTTATCTTGGCTTCATGCATGCATTCTTATGATTTCACACAGCTTTGAGCAGAAGACTTTGTGCATCTGACTTCAGCCCTAAACATTCTTGCCCACCATCCTCCTCAGGATTCACACACACCAGCTACAAATCCAGAGCCACACACAAGTGAAATGTTTTCATATGTCCTGCACAGCTGATTGTGGTGAGCTTTCTACACATACCCTGACATCTCAAAGGTAAAGTATCCAAGAAGGACAACACCAAGCCAAGGCCTGCTACCATTAGTCTCACTCACCTCCATATGATCTGGCTTCTGTTGCACTGCAGCCTCAAACAGCAAGACAGCATTGGGGAGGTCACCTTCCTCCAAGCGCTTTCGCCCTTCTTCAAATGCGTCAGGATGATCTCTCATGGGATTATCTTCTTCAAACTGGTAACCCTAGCAGAAGAAACAAGCAGAGGGCTAATGCCAGGTGATGCTAGGCAGAAAAGCACTTCCTACAGGATATCACAGTCTGGACCAGCTGCATCAGGAATGCTCAAACAGCAGAGCAAGTAGCAACCCCACTCTGTCTACTAGCTTGTAGCAGATTATAGAAAAGCAGCTCTTCTTTCTACCTGCTCTATCCTGAAAGATTCCTCTGAATCTTAGACTATTCAGACATGAGGTAAACTGCAACAGTGATTAAATAGCTGGTGCTTAGCTTACCAGCTCTGGGTGGGAGTGGGCACTTACACTCATTGCAAGCAATCCCAGCATTAACTGGCACTTGGTAGTGAACAAGAACTAGACAGCACTTGCAGATCAGAACAAATGACAAACAGCATTTAACTCCTAGCTAACCTAGAATAAGGGCACATGAAAGAGTAAATAATAGCAAAAGAAGAAACCTTAACAGCATTTGGGGATCTATGGAACTCACCTGCAAAGCAGACAACCTGCCAGCTTCCTCAAGGCAGCTCATCACAGAGCTAGAAAACCCTGTCCTGTATTACCTTGTCATATGAAGAAGAGCTGAGGTCATCATAATCAGAAAGCCAAGGGTGAGCCTCTGCATCTCTCTTGGCCATCTCCTCCCATTCTGCCTGAAGTTTGTCCCAGAAATCCACATCTGACTGAAGGGAGAACAGAAAGTCACTGGCGTACCTCAACTTTTAACTGAGCTCTACAAACACCACAAAGCATGCCCTCTTAAATGTTTCTAGCCCTCCTCAATACATGCAAAGGAGAGTTAACCCTGTCACGGGCTCTCAAATGTTACCCCAGCCCTCCTCCTCCTTCAGCTTTACCTCCACAGCAGTCTTTGCCTGCTCAAATTCCGTATCAAGAGCTGATATGTTCCCAGATCGCGCAAATTGATCCACCCAGGCATCGGATGCCCCCTGGGAGTTTGGAAACAGAAACACACCTTTCTTTTTAGGGTTTGGTAACCTCAGCACACATCCCAATGTCCTGGAGGGTCTGCGATGACCTCTCCTTCCCATCAGCAAGAACTGATGGCCTTGAGAAATGGAGAGGAGTTATTTTGGATACTTCCTTCCTCCCTCCCAGGTACTACAGAAGATGAGAACACTGACAGTGCCCAGATATCTTCCCAGCATCTGGCTAGACTTTGCTCTGACGAGCCCAACAGTCCCTCCCTTACCTCCCACATCTAGTCATTAGTAAGTAAAGCACTGCTGAAATTCAGACTTGCCATTCATTATCCCTCGCTCACAGACTGTGCACTGTCACAAAGACCTTTCCTCCTTCAGTGCACACAGGGCTGAGGCTCCTACCTGCTGCTGCATAAACTCAGCTGCCCATTGCTCTGCCTGATCTTGGTCTCTGTGGGTCACCTGATTAGCTTCGATCGATACCCTGCCATCTCCAATCTGGCGGACAAACTTTAGGAACTGTGGCAAAGAAATGAAACAAGGGTGGAGCTGGGCAGACGCTTTGCCAAAAACATTTCTATCTATGCCCCCCTTCTTTCTTTACAGATAGGAATTCTCTCTGCAAAGTGAGCACAGAAGGCTAGAGAAGTGGGCAGGAAAGCTCTTCACCACAGTGTAGTTACAGAAAGATAAAATATTTTGTGGGAACTGAAGGGCTGAACTTCTAGGAAACAGAGAAGAAGTGGAAGCACTGGATAGCAGGCCTTTTTTCCTTTATTGCCTTCCCCCTTCTTCTCCGTTCATCAAACTCTTCAGACACATTAGATACCTGTCAGCCCCAGTCACAGCATTCCTCACCTCAGAACTGTTGAGTTTTGGATCATCCACTTTAGAAAGAAAATCACTAGCAGTTTTCTTCAGATCATCTTCAGATTGATATTCTTCATACCTTTTTAAAATAATCAGTTAAAGGGAAAGAAACGGTTTGAAACTAGGCAACAGCAGCCTCTTTCATTAGCAGTCCACTGAATGGGGTAGACAAGTATTGAGGGATACAATCCTTCCTAACAGACTCTGGAGTTCAAAATTAGCCCGTAAAAATTCAAAATTACTACTAGGTTAAGCCTGCAAAAGAGTGGCACAACCATGCTATCAAGTACCACAAGTATTGGCACCATCAAGCATAGCCTCATACAGCAACATTGCAGGAACAAAGAAAGTAGGCTGCTTTTATGGAAGCACAACAATGTTTTGAAAAAGCAGCAACTCTGAAAAAGATGAAGGGCTCCCAGAGAGCACATAATTTCGTACAGCTTAAAGTGGGATAGATTCTAATAATATTCTAGGTGCAACCTGTACTGTCTGTTTTGGCAATGTCACTGGAACAGGAGAACTTAGTAACTTCAATATTTGCAAAAAGATACCCAAAAAAATCAAAAGCAAGGAGAAAGAAGTATCTAAATAGATATAGTCTGTTTTAGAGAAAGATCTAAGTAGCTCAAGTGCTTGCTTACATTTTGCTACCTGAAAGACTTGACCACAGTCCACAAGTACCTACACAGAGAAGAATTTCAGTAATAGACTGATCTTTACCACACAGAAATATTTGAAAATGTTATCTGAATGGCCAAATCTAGAAATATGCAAAGGAAAAGCTTGATGCAGTTTGTCAAATAAGAAGAATGAAGTGATGAAAGTCTACAACTATTGGATCTAGCACCTGAGATTTCTAAAACTGAAAATGCATCTATTGAGGAGCAGAAAACAAATTCTGCTTGAGCAGGAGTTACTGCAGCAACTACTGAAATCACGTTAAGGAGCTTTTCACTACCTATGCAATTATATTAGACTACAAGATCACAGCATTTCCAGAAACTAGAATCTAGGAAAATGGTGATCTCTTAAACATCATTTTCTCCCTTCTCTAAAACTAAGGAGAACACTGTCTAGGTAAGTGATTCAGAAGCATTCAAGATGTATCTCTGCCATCTGCCTAACCTTCATCCATGCAGAAGCCTAGCAGCAATAACTGGTCTTGAGACTAGAGACTTACCATTTATCTGCTACTGACTGGTCTTCTGATTCCCCCAGCCACAGTTTCTCCTCTGACTGCTCAAGGTATTCTTCTGCCCACTTGGCAGGAGACACAGACAGTGGATCTGCATAGGACATTAGGACAGGGAAAGAAGAATGAGATAAGCAGAACATCACTAAGCTTAACTTCAGATTCCACTTTCATCATTTTACATACTCTTATACTCTTATCTAACACATGCAGTAAAGACCTCTTCAAAGAAAGATCGTCAATACCTCTTCTGTGTCCTGAACAAAAAGTAATAATCAAGCCTTAGATACAGACAAAGCATTAATACAAACGCCTCTATGGTGGCAACATCTTTACTTTCTACTTCCACTTCATTATTTAAACAGTGCTCCATGAGAGATACCATGTAGGTCAAGGAAATCAACAATGCACTACAAGCCTCTGTCAAAATCACCATTTGGAAGAACACAACTGTCACAACTGTCTCATAGACTTGGGAGGTGTTGACTTTTACTGCCAGGAGCATCAAGACTGCTGATCAATGAATGGAACTATCTGACTTTCTACAGTGGCCACCCCCAGGGAACAGAAAAGAATCTAGTTAATCTTACACATAATTTCCAGGTTAAGTCCTAGATGGTCAAAAGACCATACTCAACACACAGCTCTATACACAAAGGAAGATGGCTTTTCAGATAAACTACCACCTTGTTTAGAACAGAAAGCTTACACTTAGGTCCAAAAATACTCATTTTCCATTTTTTCCAACTTGTGAGAATGCACTTTTCTCCTCAAAAATTTCTCCTCTCCCTCTTCATAAAATCCATTTTAAAATGGATTTTTTTTTTAAAAAAAAAAGCACTCCAAACTGCATTTACCTTAATACCAAAGGAAAACATGGTGAGAACTGGAGTATACATAAGGAAGAAGCAGCATCAGAGCATCTCCAGAAATTACATTAGTTGAACCATAACTTTAATAAAAGCAGCTTGAATAGCTTGCTTCTCCCAAGTTCTCCAAGTAACCCAATCTGAAAATAAAAAGATCTTGTGCCCAAATAAAGGCTTCCACACCAAATAGCGAGCAATTTAGCTAATCCACTCCAAAGCAGTCTTTTTTTTCCCTCCTCCTTTTTAAAGCTGCTCCAAAAGCATGATTCCAGTTTTGAACTCACTAACTACACTGCATGCAAGAATGTGACTGGGCAACATCACAATGATAATCCAAAAAGGACCCTTCACCTGTCACTTCAGCAATGAATTCCTGTGACCAGTCAGCCTCATTGTAATCTGAAGCGACATCACCAGCGGTGTCTGCTGCAGCCAAGAACTCCTGGGTCCAGTTTTCAGACAGTGCAAGGGCTGCCACACCGGGAGCTAGAAGAAAAACACAAGTGAATGCGAGAGGACTCAAAGGCACCTTCAGGTAGCCATCATCATCTCTGATCAGGTCCTTCCTCTTTATTAGAATAAAATCACCAGAAGATTCTACTTAGAAGGAATCTCTGAAGGTTGCAAGTCTTAGAAAAAAAAAATAAAGACACTGCAGTTAGATCTGATATTTCAGAGTACTGACCAAGCAGCTTCCGAACTTCTTGAAGTCTGGAGACTCCCCAGAATCCCTAAGCATCTGCTGCAGTGCTGAACTGTCCACCAAGGGAATACAATTCCTTACTTCTCTACTTCTCATTCTCTTGCTGTTTATCAGCGCAAAGATCCCAGCTACTGCTGCTGAAGACAATTAGATCCACTCCTATTCCCCTGACACTCCTCCAGACTGAAGAAACTTACTTCACCTTTTCCTCTTATACCACGTATTCTACCTCCTGATCTCCAGTGGACTCATTAGAATATATCAGTGGACTGGGAAGTCCAAAGTTGGAAACAGTGCTCCACATAACCTCACAACAGAGGGAGCCACCCTGCTAAGAGTTTAACCACAACACTGAGATCTTTTCCATCATCCATCTATTCCAGCTCCCCTCACCTCGCTGAGGCGCCTGTCGGAAGCTTGACTGTTCGATCTCCTGCATCTCAGCCAACAGGTCATCCATCTTAAAGGTCTGGGGTGCATGGGACAGTAATGGGGCATTCTGCCCTTGTAGGAATTCTCCAACCAGCTACCAAAGACAGTGAGAGATTAACATTCATCATCTAAAACATGGAAGATAAACACGTAGAGCCACGGAGCAGAAAAAAGAAACAGACTTGGCAGAAAAGTAAAATTAGATAGAGGGAAAAAAGCAAACTAAGCATTGAAGAGAAAGGTAATAAGGAGATGCATCTATTTGTTCTTACCTCATCTTCAGAGGCTACTCCCAGTGGCTTGGATACCTAGAAGTAACAGCGGGCAATCATCTCAACAGCTTGGGCTATCCACACAGCACGTCAACCAGCACACATCCTCCTCTCCCTCCCGTTTAGGCTGACCACACTTCCTCGCACTGGCTGTCAGCACGCGTCCAAGCTATAGGCACAGGAACACCCCGCACCACGTCGCGCAAGCTTCCCACCACCCCCTCCGGGTTAGCCGCTGCATCAGTAAGGCGTGCGCCCCCCCCCCCCACAGCCACGAGCATCCTGCCAGCACCCCCGGACACGGCCGCTACGAGCAGACCACGCCCCGTCAGCCCGCCGACAGACGGGGCGGCCCCACAGCCCCTTTCCCACGCGAAGCAGCGCAGTCCCACACCCGCCCCCGGCCGCCCTCAGCGAGCGAAGCGCCCCTCGACACTCACGGCGGCGGCTCCCGCCGCTCCCGGAGGCCAGCCGAGGGATCCCTGGAGCCCTTCCTGCCGCAGGGCCTTGTCCTGGGTGAAGTGGCCGGCCAGCTTCAGAAGGGGGTTGGAGCCCCCGCACTCCGGCTCCACCAGCTCCCTCATAGCCATGGCGCGAAGCACGGACGGCGCCAGAGCCCTCCGGGCCGCACCTGGGCCCGGGACGACACCGGGCCGACGTCAGGCAGAGCGCCCTCCTACCCCCCGCTCCGGCAGTCCGCCCCCCGACCCGGAACCCGCCAGGCTGTTCTGGCCGCCGCCTGGGCAGCGGGACGTCTGTCTGGCAACCTTCGCCTTCCCTGCCCCAACCTCGCCAGCCAGCCAGCCAGCCAGCCAACCAGGCCGCAGGCCGCAGCCCGCCCCAACCAGCCCGATGCCGACCCCAGCCCCACAGCGGCGGTAGCGCCGTGAGACCCCACACTCCCCAAGGCCGCCAGGGCAGGCCAAGCCGAGTCACGAGACCCCCCCCCTACCCCACGCCGTACTTTGGGCGCCTGGGTCGCGAGGCTCGCGGGCGGGGCCAGCAATTAAAGGCACAGGCACCTCGCCAGCACAGCGCCGTGGCCCTTAAAGGGACCGAGCGCCGGCAGCCGCCCGCGCTGCTTTGCCAGCCGGGCGTTTTGGTGTGTGCAGTCACTGCGCAAATATGTATAATTTTATCATATATGATAAAAGCTCCGTCACGGACATTGTCAGTGTGTTGGGTTTATCCAGAACCGTAGTCCCGCTGTGGTAATGGTGTACTCTTCAGTACTAATCTGAGCTGAATGAGTGATGTGTGTCTTACCAAAACTGGAGCCCGCTCCACAGCAGGTTGGGTAAGCAGCAGCTGTGAAGGCGCACGAAGAACACGAGATTCCTGCAGCGTTTGTCAGTTACCTAATTGACGAGTGTGTCCTATTTCATTATTTGCTTCTGGATTTCTAAAATATTGCAGTAGGCTGTAACAGGTACGGGATTACATGATCTGTGCTGTCTTCTGTGAAACCCGAGTGCTAGAAACACCCAAAATTGAATCCCATTTCCTCCTTTTCAAAAGGAATGTGATCCTCTACAGAATCTTCTCTCAACTTCCATGATACAGTTCATCTCTCCAAAAACAAGTGTCTGGTGCTGGCTCAGGCACTATTCTTGAGCATAAATCTTCTTGAATGCTCTCCTTTCAGCTTTGGATTGTGTATGTCACTCTCTGCTAGGTTCTTGCTAGCAAGCACTATGGTGCAACAGGAGCAAGTCTATGGCGTTATTGCGTGAGGACTGGAAATCCAACACCCACATCAATCTGCCCTTGGTCCTGTGGCCCAGTGGTGGCTGAAATGCCCCGAGGATGCCTCATTTACAGACATCTGCCAGCCTGGCTCCACCAGGAGGAAATTCAGCCTGAGCACCAAACTGCTCTGCAACAACTGAAGCACAGCAAGTGAGAAGTGCTGGAGGAATCGCTTTGAAAGCACGCTTCAGAAACCAACTCAAACTGCTGTGGAACATCTGTCAGGTAGCTGCAATTAGCTGGAAAGACATTTACATAACCACTCTTAAACCCAAAGACGTTGAGCTACACATGCTGGTGTGCAGGAAAATGGTGCCACCGGAAAATGAAAGTCTGGACCTTTCTTTCAAATGATTAAGTGTGAAAATGGGAAATAGAACATTGTTTTTGTGTTTTGTGTCACTATTATGTTATTCTATAGGGGGTAATATATCTTCGTTGTAAGGGGTGGAATTTTTTAAGAAATCTTTAGGATGTATATCAAAACCTTGGAGAAAGGGGCAATGGGAGAAGAGACAGGGGACCCACTAGAAGTCCCTGTTTGTCAGAGTATCATTGTGCCAGTTGCAAAGGGTTTGGTCATTAACAAAAAGACTGCTAAGGCTGTGGCTCCAGCTGAAGAAATGTCATGCCCCTTGGTCAACAACAAGGGAGCCAAGAGTGTCATTCCCAACTGACTCTGGTATACAGCATGGCTGGAGGATGAGGACAACCAAACTGAAGCAGCCACCCCAAGCCTTCCAATGATTCTACAATTCTGTGATCCTTTGGAATTGCAGGAAAATGGGCCTGGTCTGTTTTGTTCCAGTTAAAGCAAAACTTGTTTCTAAAAAGTGATGGTTTATAGGCTTATCTGGCCATATGTTTTGATGATAAAATTTCAGTATTCAGTTCTGATTCAAAAGCCAAAGTGATTTGTTTTGTTGACAGTGGTGAATCTACCACAAAAGTTGGCTATAGGTGGCATATATATATAGGTGGCATACATATGCCAGAGGACATCAGGTAGGATTTTCATAGGAGGAAACACATAATTGACTGACAGACAAAGAAGCTCAGAAGATGGCACGGCAAGTCTGCCAGAAGTATCTAAGATCTCCCCCTTACTCTTAGTGGCCTAGCCACTGCTGGATGAAATGTGTTTCCTGCCAGAGGAGCTAGAGGTAATAAAAAACAGTGGGGCAGTATAGAGAATAACTAACTGGTTCACCAGGGACAGCAAACAGTGGTTACCCAAGTCACTGCTCCTAGAAGTTTTGAAACAACTTTATGAGAGAAGCCTTTGGGGCTCCAAAGGATTAGCAGATGCCTTTATGAAAATCTTTGTTACCATAGAGCTATTTGCACTAGCAAAAGCAGCCACCGAGGGATGTTTGATATGTGTTGAAGTAGATCATAAGCAAAGCAAATGGTAAAAATGGAGGCCAACACTGGGCAGGGCAACCCTTCCAGTGGTACCAGGTAGATTTGACTGTGATGTCCAGGGCTGGGCAACTTAAATACCTCCTAGTGATAGTGTGCCAGCTTACAAGGCTGGACGCATTTCATGTAGCCTCAGCAGCGTCCTGCTCTGTCACAAAGATATTCCTGGAACAAATCATTCCTAGGTATGGGATGATAGAGGCAATAGATGAAGATAGAGGAACTGACATCACAAGGAAGGTGTTGCAGGGAATCATGACGCATTGGAGATACCACAGGACTTGCATGCCTCCTGGTGACCCAAAAGTTCAGGGAAGGTGGAAAAAATGAATGGGGAAATAAAGTAAAACTTTCTGAAACTAGCAATAACAACTTAGCTTACCTTAGGCCAGATTGCTACCCCAAATAAGGGCAAAACCTAAGGGAGACAAAGAGTTATTCCCCAGTAAGTTGCTGTTCAGAACACCCTACCCAAGTAGCACCCAACCTGGGAGAAAAAAGGAAATAAGTGATATTTCCTTAAGACAATACATGGGCAAGATACTGTCTCTTGTCTCTTTGGCAGGAGGCCCAGCTGCACAAACCGTACCCTTGGACTTTGTGGTGCACAATATTCAGCCTGGAGACTGGATCCTGGTAAAAGACTGGTAGGAATCATCATTAACTCCTAAGTGGAATGGACCTTTTCAGCTGTTACTCACTATAGAGGCTGCAGTGAAAGCAGTGGAACACAGATGGATTCACCATACCCTCACTAAGCCCACACAAGCTCCAGAAAAGTAGACTATCAAGTTGAAAGAAGACAGAGGATTATGGATAACCTTTAAACAAAGCGCCTGAGTAGTGACCTTATGCAACTAGCCACCAGGGAAGCTTGAGAAGATAGTGGCAAAGGAGCATAAGAACTGGAACCAGCATGTTTTGAGTCTAGATTTTGATTTGTTGCAGATGGGGAGTCAGAGCAATCCTCCCAGGAGACTACCCTCTGGGGAAAATGTGGGTATGGTTCGTTTGGGAGGCTGCTAATACCTTCGCTTTTGGTTTAGCTGGGAGCAATCAGTGCATGATATAACGACCATTCCTCTGTGTCTACAGGACAGCAATCCAAACAAGTGGCTTTACAACTGGATGCAATCTGTGATAGGGATGTAAACCTATTATAAAGGTGGAAGTGATGGTTCTAGGCCTATCTTTAGTGGGAGTCCCAGGACTAACCGTCTGCAACATCCACAACCATCAACAACTTATTGTGGTCGCTTGTGGTTTCACAAAAAAATAAAAATAATAAAAATTAAAAAAAAAAATTGAATCAATTTTACATCCCATCTGTTGCAGCCTTAAATAAGTTACCAGGAGAAATTCAGCATGTAGTCTTACAAAATAGAGCTATTAATGATTATCTATTATTAAGTCACAATCATGGGCATCAGGAACTTGAAGGGATTTATTGTTTTAATATTAGTGACTCCTTCCAGTTGGCAGAAGGAAAGACTGAAGATTTAAAATGTTTAATGGAAGGTCTCAAACAAGAGGACTGGCAAAGATCAGAACCCTGTTATTGATGGAGGATTGCTTTTTGATGATAGGTATAGGCCTGGTAAGGTCCGTGGTAAGTTTTGTACTCTCCTCCCTTTGAGAGATTACTTGGGGGCAGAAGGCAACGGTCTAAAGGCATGCAACTGCACCTGGAACTGCACAAGAAGAAATAATAAAAGGCTATGTTAGAAAATAATTATTTGCAAGAATAATTAGATGATAAAAAAGGGAAAATTGACATCAGTGAAGAAAGGATATTAAGTCCTTGCAAGAACTTAATATGATGAACGAAGGATGAGAACTGGTTAAATAAAATTTGTCTTGCAGATACATAGCAGGAGATGCTAGCTTAGCAATTGCTTGTAAATCTTGCTTGCTTTACAGGACAAAGAGGGATGGACAGGCTACAACAGGCTACAAACAGAACTTGGACAAAGCAACAAACTCTGAATCCAGCTTACTAATATGTATTAGCAAAGAAAAGGGGTACCTACTGGGGGGTTGAACATGTTGTAAGTGAACTGAGAAGAATGTGAACCCCGAGTACTTTAAACGAGTACTGGATGAGCAGATGCCTTTATGAAAACAGGGAACAAACAACGGGAACAGGGCATAGGGATAAAGAGAGATTGTGACCTCTGATGGGTTGAGATCCTACTGGAAACCCCCCAGCAGACATTCCTTTTATTCGAATAAAGAAAGGTAAAAAACCTCCTTTTTGGGATCACTGAGCAAGCCTATTTGAGCAGAATTTTTCCCAACAGCGCTGAGGATGCAACAAGCATGAGGACACCAGGATTCAACGCACAGGAACAAGCATCGTCAGCAGGCGGCTCGCAGCTCACGGACGTAGTTTGGCACGGGGATCCGAAGCGGGCCCAACCCCACCAAACCGCCCCCCAGGCGGCCTTCTGGGCTGCCGGCACCCAGCCCGGCCCGCCCGCCTCCGTCCGAGGAGCCAATGCGAGCGGAGGGCGGGCGGGCCAGGCCTCGCCCTCGGGGAGCCGGCGGCGGATCCCGGCCGTGCCGCAGAGCAGCGGAGCCTGCCGATGGAGCGCCGTGCCATGGCGCAGCACAGCACCCTGCTCCACCTGTTCGCCGGAGGGTGAGTGAGCCCGCGCGGCGCGGATCTGAGCGGCACGCGCGGCAGGAGCCC